CATCACTGAAGCAATGAGCATGAAACTGAGCAAACTCAGGGAGGCAGTGAAGGACAGGAAGGCCTGGCGCAATATGGTTCATGGGGTCACGAAGAGTCGGACACGACTTAACGACTAAACAACAACAAATATAATTAGGTATTGTACAAATCATCCTTCCCCTACTATTCTTTGTTCTTGAAATCAAGAGTATTACAAAAGAGTATTATAAAAGAGTAGCAGATGTCAGGAGTGGATTGATGAAAAATTGGCACAGCTTCTGCAATCTGGATTAGATTGATCTAATTAGATCAAAATCCTCTAAATAAATAGCAACAACAGCTATTAGTGCTGATCCAGATTCAAATGGCTAAACTTTCAAGGGCAACAGATTCAGAGCATGCACATGACTTCCGTTAGGAAACCTTTAAAACAGCTGCATCTTCTCTGAACTCCAGTAGCTGACATGCAATTCTGGGGAAAGACACATCTGGTTTAAGATGCATCTGTCTGGGGCTATGTGCATAGACTGAATTAATTTTTTCTCTTTGAATCTGGATCTCTGCGCAGCCCTAAAGGCTATATCAGAAGCATCTTTCTTCAATCTGTAAATATATTATTTATGTCTAGGTCAAGTGAGTCATACCTCAACCTTAAATAAATAAAATATATGGCCCAACATTCTCTCAAATTACCCACCTGTTGTGCCACTTGTGAAACAAACAACAGAAAGATCATCTGGTTTGGGAGGCTGAAATGAGATAAAGCAATAACAGTTTAGTCCAAATGGGTATTTAATATTATACTTGGTCATAAATAGGTATTGATGATTAACAAAGTGAAAAGTTAGTACTTACAACTGGTTTGCTTAAATTGTCTCTTCCTAGTGCCTGTATGGAAAAGAAGGAAAAACTGTACTTGAGACAATTTCAGGAAGATAACTTCAAGGAGATTTTCCTAAATGAATAAAAGTCCAAATTTGGGATAGTTTATTAAATACAAATGTGGGGAGATTCAGGATCAGTAAAAGTAAGCACTTTATTACACAATGTAAATTTGAATTACAGTAATACCTCGGTTCATGAACGCTTCTGTTCATGAACAATTCGGTTCACGAACAGCACCATTCGCAAAATTTTGCTTCCATTCGCGAACTCCGCATTAGGTGACGAACACGACCCGTGGCCATTTTTCCTGCTGTGACACGTGGTCATGGCTTCCTGTCGGCGAGGGGGACTCTTCCTCTAAACAATAACTGCCTCCCCACCCGCCTTCCTGTCCTCCATGCCAGAAGTTGCCCCAAGCAAGGTTAGTGTTCTCTCTCTTCATACTGTACTATACTTTGTTTCATATTTTTGTGTTTTTTAAAAAAATACATATGGTTCAGAACGGATTAACCGTATTTACATTAAACCTTATGGGAAAATTTGATTCGGTTGGCGACCAAAATTGATC